TCCGTCAAATCTGTAACTCTGCAACTCTGCAACTCTCTGCAACTCTGCTGCTCTTTTTTTGTTGCTCCGTCGCTCGTTTTGCAACTCATTGCAGCTCATCGTTGCTCGTCCCCGTTATTTCTTGCCCTCGTCTGAGATTGTCAAACAGCCGTCTCTCGGTGGCTCCTGCGGTCGGCAGTGCGCAGGTGCACATCTGCTACTGCCAAGACGCTCAAGACACTCCAGAGCCGCACAGTGCCGCGTTTCCCACATGTCTGTTCGCACCACCAAACCTTGTGAGCATTTGCACTCTATTTTGTGCACATCCCTTCCCCTCAAACCCCAGCCCTCAGACGGACTTGCCTGGCCAGGAATCCAGGCCAAGGGTCCCCCCTCCCCCCTGGTAGCAAAGGGACGGATGATTTGTCCCGCACTGCGACCGCACGTCTTGTTTGTGTTGTCTGTCCAAACAGGACCAGCTTCGTTCCGGTGCCGACCCCTGCACTCTGACGTCGTTGGGGTTGCTCCTTTCCCAGACGACTTGTGTTATGTGCCACCTGCCTTCCTGCCTTCCCAATGCTGTAACATATTCGATGTATTGAGAACATGTACGAACCATCTGACCTGCCACCTGAACTTGCATTCCTTTCCAAAAGGGTATGTGCGCTTTCACATTCCTTTCGTCTGCACGATGAGATGGATTGTTTGTGCCGTCTGTGTGGCGTTTTACGACACGACGGATTCTATTTTCAGCTTGTCTCGTGTCTTGTCGTTTTTCTGTCTCTCTGTCCGTCTCTGAGACACCACGGGCATCTGTTGAACCCGCCAACCCGTGCCTGCCTCACGGGGACGTCGTCGTCGCTCATTCCTCATGGGACAAAATCGACACACAAGTTGACCCGTTGCACTTTCCCTTTGATGCTGTTTTTCTCTTTCGTGCCAACAGGCCCCTCCCTCTGATCGTACCTAGAGTGGGGTCGTTGCGGACGGGTATGGAAAGGGAAGCGGCGATCATAGGAGATTAGCCTTTGTTTCTGGCATGCCCCAGTCGACTCAGAACTGTAGCCCCCCTCATCTCCAATTTGGAGGACACGGCGCCCTCCGTCTCCCCCTGTCACACGTTCTCTGTGTCTTCCTTATCCTCCCGCCATTTCGACCAACTTTGGGGCACCCCCCCCATCCCCCCCGAGACAACGCAGCCTTTTCCATTTTGGCGTTTCCCTTTTTCTTATTTTGCTTTGCATTTTGCATTTTTCCAACGAGAAACGTGCAGCACGGAAACGGTACACGCCGAAACAGCCCTGTCAGACGTCAGACGTGGGCTCAAATTCTTTCTTGGCTTTGCTTGTTTGTCCCTCCTAGTCACTTGTATAGCGGAATGCCGGCCGCCATTTCGTCCTTCTTCATCGGATTCTTTTTGTTGATGTGTCGCACGCAGTAGCGCAATGCACAGCGCATCACTCTTGTTTCGCCTGGCACCAATCGTGATGCGACCGGACGACTTGTGCGACTTGGCGAAAAAGGTCATTCATCGTCTCGTCCCCCTCCCCGTCCCCCACTCTCGCTACAATAGACGGATCGGTCCAGTCCCAGAATGCTATTGGTTTCGTGCAAGGCGCGTGTGGCATGGACAGCCTCCTGTCACGAAGGGGCATGTCAAATACATTTGTACACGCACGCCGTTCTCTCGGTACAAATGCCAAAAACAGTATCTTACGCAGCCCTCGTGCAATATACGCTGGGATCCAGTCCAGTGGTGAGTGGGTAGCGTTAGCTTCATTGGTCTCGTGGCTTTCCAAATTTCGCGGCGCCGGCGCCATTTGGCCTTGCTGGCAGCCGGCAGGCAAGCGGCAAACAAAGTACGATACAGTAGCAGGGACTCCTCCGCCATACAATAGCATACATATCCCCGGAAGCGACGCAGAATTCGCCTGCGCTTCCCGCTCACATCCAACGCTCATCTCAGCAAGTCTTTGTCCGCTGCTGACCTGTCGCCGTCGATCACGGTTGACGAATGTCTAACTGGTTTTGGTGCACCACGTCAAGACGACATACGAAGTACAGGTCCCTGGCTCTAAACTGCCGAGCACCCGAGTGGCAATGGCAAGAATAGGACAATGGTGACAACACTTGCATCAGAATTACAAAAAGGTCAACATGCAAAGGGTCGTCTGGGCTGGCAGGTCCGGGGGAAGACGACGAGGGAAGCAAAACGGATGGGGAAAACACGAAAAAATTAAAGTGTACAATTGAGTGCCAAGGCCAGGAAAAAAGAGTACGAGTCACGGGCCAAAACGATCAAGATCTGACAATCGCCACAGATCAAAAAGTGTTCTGGAACAATAAAAAAAGAGGGAACATGCCCAGCGTCGCCCAGAGGCACACAAACGTGAAAACGTATCCCGAAACTGCTTTGCAAAGACAACCTGGGGCAACAAGAGCCGCACGGCATAAGATCCGCCTGACAATCCGGTCACAGCCTTGACGCGGCGGTGGCCTCACTTGCTGCTACTCTCGCAGTCTCTTTTTCTGAAATTATTTTTGTGCGTTCCCATCTGTTCGAACGGCCGTCTCAAGTTTGCACATCCGTTCTCCGTTCGATGTCAAAGGGGGTTTTGCTTTTGTTGGGCTGTTTGGGAACAGGGGAGCAGGAGACCATGAGAACAGGGGCAGAACGAACAGGGGGTGTGGAGAGTGGGGGCGTGCGCGTGTGCAGCTTTGTGTGCCGGCCGAGTCTGCGAGTGTACGAGCTGCAGTACGAGCACTCACTGTACGACGTATTCCTACCCGTATTCTGTAGCACATGTAAGGCGACGTACCCTTTGTGCGACACCCCGCACAAAAAGTACATGTCGCTTACAGACAGCCGACATGGGAAACGGCCATGGCCATGGTCCGTGACGTTGCGACCAGGAGAGCTATGACGGCAGACGTCTGTCGACACTTAACCATCGCATCTGCATCCGACAAGAGATGGGACGTAATAAAAACCATAGCAGGAGTTACATGTGATGGAGCGAGGTTTTGGGAGCAGGCGCCAGCAAACGGTGAACCAACTCGCCTTCTTCGTACAGCGGGTCAAGACGCCGCCTTGGCATGTCTCCCTGGCTGGCTTTACTCTGTAGTGTAAATAGCGTAAATAGTGTATCTAGTGCTGAAGAACCACGGAATTGCAGGGCAAGAGAAAGGCGACAAGGCGCATAAAAAACAAAGAGCCCAATCGTCGCCATCATAGGGGTACGAAGAATAGAAGGCAAAGAACAAAATAACTGGGGAATTTCCCGAAACACGCTCCGGGACCAAAACCGCCTCCAGAGCCTTACATGTAAGATACATGCTTCTTAGCCATTGCATCTTTTTCGCCGATTACCGTGGGAATGGTTTTGGCTAGTTGCTAGCGCTCTCAGCCGGTTCGCCCGTCACCAAGTCCGCCTTTGTCTTTGTCGTCTACACCATTTGCCGCCTGCCTGTTCACCATCTTGCCTCGTGGTCACCCGCCCTGCCCCTTCGTATCGGTTATGCACTGGTAGACGCTACGGGCCAAAAACTCTCGCCACCGTGTGCTTCATCCCATTATGCAGCTTACGGCATCGTCCTTCGTCCTTTGTACATCTGCCGTCATGGACGCCGTTGTACGCCATGCACCATCGTATTCGACCGTCTGTCGTCGACTGCTTGGTCGGCTGCCTGGCTTGGTCCTGCATGTCGCTTCCTGCGAGTTGGCATGGATAGGCTCATGCCCGCCTCCGTAAACCACCTCATGTTTCTGGATCGAGCGGCCCCCGGTGGCAGATGCCAGTGGCGCGTTTCCGAGAAATGCTCGAGCGCAGCTTCCCTCGCGACTGCCCAGGCTCCTTCCTGCTCCGTGCTCTGAGCGCACAAGGTGCAATACTGCAAAACTGCAAAACTGCAACTGCAAGGCAGCAGAACGAGGACGGCGCAGGAAAGAGCATACGGTGGGCGCGCCTGCGACCTTCCTTTCTGCCGGGTGTCAATGCATCCTTCGTCTCCTGCAACCCTTCTTTTTGCCTTCTCTGCTTCTGCATCCTGTTCTTCAGTTTCCTGCTCTTGATCGGCACCTGGGTTCGTTCGTCCTTTTCTCCCCCTCCCTTCCTGCAGAAAGTCTTCCAAGAGAGAGCCTCCAAAAAGCACACACCCCTCTTCTGCCAATGGCAACGCCTCACACCCCCCCAGGGGGCGCTCTCGGGTCAGGCCTACACATATTTTGTGACAGATGAGCTCCGTTGGACGCACATCGCCTAGGGGATCAACGGTGTGGAATTTTTTGGAGAAAGGGGGGCGTGTACGCACGCTCGCACTGGACTACAAACGTCTTCGACTAGCGGCCTGCTTTGACCACCAGAAAGGGATCTGATGAAATAACGCACAATTGGAGACTGGCGTTCGCCCCAGTTCCACCAGCTAGCTCCCAGAAAAGAACGGTCCGGTGCTAAAGACATCCCAGGCGACGACAGACCCCTGGAGAATGGAGACGGAGTGCCACCTGGTCCCTGTACTGACCAGTGTCAAGTGTACTCGCTTGCTGTCGTCCTTGCTCTACCTGGTCCAACACCACGCAATGTTGGTCCTAACGCCTTGCCTTGTTCTTTCTACCTTGTTGTTCGTCGACTCCCGATTGTCGATGCAAACTTATAAGATTCCCGACCCTCCCCTCCACTTCTTCTTGTTTTCTTTGCTCTCCTCCTCTTCCTCTTTTTCCGTTGTTTATCTTTCTCATTCTTAATCTCGATCTTCAGAACAATTTCACAACAGCAAGACATACACACTACAACAACATCCCAGCTGGTTCTTGGTTTAATATTTATTGACTGTCCTCGACATACTCGACCCGAACTCATACTCTAATTCTCGCCATCTTCGACATTCACTACCTTCACTACACGTCAATATAATATTTTTCACCACGTCCGTCTTTCGTACTACATAACTTGACAACTTGACAACTTCACCATAATACCCTAATATCTATTTCTCCCACTTCTTCTTCACATCCGCACAACATGGCAGCCGGTCTGTTGTCAAACCCCTACGCCGGGCAGGCCAGCCTCTCGCAGCACGTTTCCCACGTCTCGCAATATGCCACATACCCCAGCCAGCAGATGCAGCAACAGCAGCAGCAGCAGCAGCAACAACAACAACAACAACAACAACAACAGCCACATGGCCCTCCCTCGCCCCCCATGGACGACAACAAGTGCTCGCTGCCCTCAATCTCCAACCTGCTGGACCTGGCCGACCAGGGTTCGCCCACCTCCGAGACGTCTCCCCAGTCCCAGCAGATGCAGCAGCAGTCTTCACAACAACATCTGCAGCAGCAGGTCCTGCAGCAGGAGTTCTCTTTCAATGGTGAGCATTTTCCTGGGCTCGCCCCGTTGCCTGTTTCTGTTACGAGCAGCCATCTAACTGTTTTGCCAGCCTCCTCTCGGCCAAGCACCCGGCCCAATTCATCCCACTACTCTAGCAACCCCATGAGCCTGCGGGGCGGCGTTCTGCCGCCCACGCCACCCATGATGTCCGAGGCCAGCTTCGGCACCGGCTACGACTCTCCCTCGACCAAGTCCGTCAACCAGCTGCCGCACTCCGTGGCCGCCGCTGCCATTGCCGCTGCCGCCGCCACAAACAACTACTACTTTGAGGCAACACCACCGCCGCAGCAGCCCTACAACCACGAGTCTGCAACGTCTGAGCCGCGGCACGCCTCGCAACCGCCCAGCTCCCACCCGCAACAGTACCAGTCGCCGTCCCAGTCGCAGGCGCAGGCGCAACAATCACAACAACCCCAGATCCACCACCAGCCGCAGCCGCAGCGCAGCATCTCGATGCACGCGACGACGACCTACGGTGCTCCCGCCTACCCCACCCAGGCTTCTTACTTGAGCCAAACGCCCGCCGCCGCCGCCATCTACTACCCGGCCATGCAGCAGCCAACACCGCCGCCACAGCAGTCGGTCCAGGCACCACAGGCACAGCATCTTTCGGGCCTCTACTACCAGCGTCCTCTGCCGCAGGTTGGCGCCAGCACATTTCCGCCGATGCACCACGCACACCACCACCCGCACCACCAGCCTTCGCCGTGGCAGCACCACCACTATATCTCCCCCTCGGCCGCCGCCGCCTTCCCGCAGTCGCAGGACCGCTACATCTGCCCGACGTGCAACAAGGCCTTCTCTCGCCCAAGCTCCCTGCGGATCCACAGCCACTCGCACACCGGCGAGAAGCCCTTCAAGTGCCCACACCAGGGCTGCGGCAAGGCCTTTAGTGTGCGCAGCAATATGAAGCGTCACGAGCGCGGCTGCCACAACTTTGACAGTGGAAACTAAAAAACTCTCTGCTCTTCCTTTTGCCTCTTAGTCATATTTTTCTAGTGTTATTTTCTGTGCGATCTGCTTTTTGTTTTCTGCAAGCGTTTCTTTACAGCTGTCTACTGGGTTTCCTATTTGGAGGAATAAAACCGGGACCGGGTTTCTTTCATCTTGTTTTAGAGCTAAATGTCATTTTTACGGACTTTCTTATATTGGCCACGCGTTGGTTTGGGCCTCTCACTTGGGTTGGATTGGGTTGGGTTAACCATTGTTACGGGTACAAATCTAGGCTGATGTTTTGTACACAATTGGGATCGGGAAAAATGCAAGAAAAAGATTTTTGCCCCTTACACGGCCTTTCTTCGCCAAGTGTTTTTATTTTACTTTGTCTCGTCATTGCACATGGGGAGTTTCGGTGTTGTTCGAAAAGAGAGTCCATTTTGGGAATCGGCGCTCAATGGCTTTTTGGGAGCTGTTCTTGCTTTTTCTTTGTAGACAAGAAAGAGAACGGGTCTTCTTCCAGCGTGTACCAGTACAATACCACACTTGCATTTATTGTGAACTGTTTCCAAATTCGAAAAAGTGTATATGATTGTGTGAGACGCATTACGAGGAGAACACTATAACAAGACCCTCTAAAAACGATGAGCATTCGTAATCTGTAGCGTGTTTGACATCCCGCGTAAAAACGCTTGTATCCTACATGCCATAGCATTCATGTGTCCGGACACTTGGCGCCCAAAACAACCCAAAACACAGCGAAGAACGAGAAGACAAACTTTTTATTTTGTGTCTTGCTTTCTCATAGGCACAAAGAGCTGCTCCGTGATGAAGCTGGATCGTCAGCCGGATGCTCTTTCCCTTCGTTGTCGTCTCCTAAAATCAATCATGTGTTCCCCCGCGGAAGTTGCGACTGGATGTTCGGGAGCTGGGGGCTACGCCTTCCTCTCCAAAGGGATGCCCGATTGGGATGAAAAGTGACGACCTGTTGGTCGAGAAGTGACCGCGTAATGACAAATTACGGTAATTCTGGGACATGATGTTCCCATCACGCATACGGCATATAACATGGCCAAGAACCGTGCATAAAATATTATTTTTTACGGATTCCTTTTTGTCATGGCTTTCGTTCCGATTTCCTCGTGGCCGGCCGAATCTCCAAGATTGGATATGATACGCATTCGATCTCGTTCGTCTTTTTTGTCCACTCCACGCGATCGTTCTGTTTATCCTAGAACAAAGAACCAGAGGAGCACCGGCTTGAACAAACTCTGTATGGCTGCATACGCAGCATGGTTGGTCTTTCCCGGGCAGTGAAGGCACTGTTGATCGAGGCCCTGGCATCATGGCATATGGCATCATGGACTTTGGTAAATTAGTGCAGCCTGTTCAGCGCTAAATATATTTTGTACCGACGTCATGCCAAAAAAATAATAATAAATAATTAAATAATTAACTAGAAAAATTAAGAAAGGACATAAAGAAAATCGACACAAAAAAGTGGAGACACAAACGAGGGCAGAAAATGCCACTCCGACAAGCACATTGGCAGACGCGCAAACAAACCCAATATCGTTTTCTTGATCGTTTATACCAGCCAAGAGAGAGAGGTTTCTTCCAAGTCTGTTGACCTCGACTCGATTATTTTATCAATCATATCTCAACCTTGCATTCCGTACGCAGCACGTTCTCCAGTGTTGGTTCATTCACACTGTTTTGTCCTGTCGCTTCCGCGTCTTGGTCGACGAAGTGGTTGTAATTCAACTTTGTCGATCTTCTGTGGTTCTCATCTTTTCCGTTTCCTCGTCTTTTTCTATTTTGGCATATCTGTTCTAGGCTTTTCGGACGGTCTAGAACAAATGGAGGAGGCGGACTGAAATGAACAAACCGGTTTTATTTTATTTTATTTTATTTAATTATTTTTTGTATGAAGCTTTTTGGCAGCTGTTTCACAATCATCTTCCACCGTTCGTTTTTCATTTCTGCCATCCCTTGCTTCCGAACGTTGAAAAACTCTCACCGGTTGTTCCTCCTTGGAAATCTTCAACGCGTTTTTGCCGCACATGTTCACCGAGCAGCAGTTTCAGGTCCCAGGCCAATAGCACTGGAATGCGTACCGCTGAGATGCGGTGCCGGATCTCACTCGTAATGCTTCTCCGGATGTTTACGAACGTGCGATGTATTCGTCGTTATAGAGTTCCGCCTTTTCTTGTCCTCGCACTACATTGCTTGTATCTGATTTCTTGCATTTTTCCACATGCACTTCCTAGCCCAATGAAGGCGAAGCCTTGACGAAAAGAAACGAACAAGGCGAAAGGAGCCACGAAATGAAAATCGAGGGTGGGTGAACGTAATCAAAACTGCCACGGCCTGGTTTGGAGACGTGCATTAACCGGACTGTTGTTCTAGTCCGGAGACCTCAGATGGTGGTCACGGTTGTCTTTGGCCTGTGAAAGGCTCGTAACAGTGGTCGACGGTGCACTTGGTCCATTGTTTCCTTGCCTTGGGGTGGATGTATGAGTGTAAAAAGGGTAACGGACTTCTCCGTTCAGAACAAAAACACACCAAAAATATTCTCCGTTTTCTTCGTACGTCGCTCATACTCAGCGTGATACAAAAGGCGGTGTAAGAGCCCGACTTCTCGCCAATCTCGTTTGGGCATCGGGTGTGTGGGGGGCAAGTCGCGGCGCGCCGTCTCCATATAAACGAGCCAAGTTTATCCCAGATCTGGGTGTTGGCTGAAGTATCGTGGGCCGTTTGACTTGGAAATTGGGTATTGTCTCTGTGCCATCAAAAAGAATAAAGCCACAATGTAAAACAAGGCGCTCCAAGACATGAGTACTAAACCCTGCTGCAATACGGAGTATATGATGTCCACCTGGTTTGAGACAGTATCTGCAAGAAAATCATCCTGCTACTGGTTCCGCGCCATCAGAGTACTGACGGATCGTTATTGTGGCATGTTGGACGACCGTTTTTCTTGTTATTTCATAGAGCGTCGCAGTCTCTTGAAGTCATCCTTCCTGCCATTTTTACGCGCGTGCCGCACGATCTCCGACTTCCGACCTCCCTTGGTGGCGCAACTCGTCTGCAGCTATTTGGGGTGGTTTTAAAGGAGACATGTGTTTCGCGGTCGGTTCGTTGGGTAGAAGCAACGGACAAAGGAAAAAAGAGTGAGCAACCAAGTCCAGTAAAATAGAAAGGGCGGGTGATTGGCGGTGTGCCGACACAGGTCTGTTGGAGGCTGTTGGATGCTATTGAGAAAACACTCGAAAAAGAAATTAATAGACGAGTGAAATGCCTCATCCGGCGTGCTGGGCCCCCCATGCTGCCTCGTTTGTAATCATGACGGCCGGCCGGCCGGCAAAAATGTCTGTTGGCCGCTCTAGTAAGTCGTATTTTGTATCGGATTGTGGTGAGTACCACCGTGTGTTGGAGGTAAGATTACTTCTCCGCGGAAACGGTTTTGCGGCAGTCGCTGGCTCACCCTGGGCGGCTCTCTTCTGTCCATGTGTCTGTTGGCGCTAAAACCGAGACGGCGACTCTGATTTGCACACTATTCGTCGTAATACGTGGTAGGTCTCCCGAGTGAAGTGACGATTGTACGGATCTGTTGCCCAAATGGGACAAGGCAGCCAACGCACATGTGTTCGATCGGGACGGGAATATCGGACAAATCGGAAGTATTGATCCATTTGCACAGTCGCAACAAAAGGACAACACATAACATCGATCATGAAGTTTCCAGTGCCAATCCAGGGCACAAAGCGCATGTCAACCAACAGGACAAAAGGGAAGGGAAAGTAATCGCGCTGGATGGATGCATTGAGTGTGTCGTCAATGAAATTGGCTAAGGGTTGGCTCGATGGGGGTGATGTTAGATTGCGATGGAGGGCATGTAATCTACCTGTCTGTCGTTTCTCTTTTTGATTTGCGTTTGTGTTGCCAAAGGCCTTGGCGCAGCCTAGCCAACATCATCATGCCCAACAGTTAAATCGCCCACAATAAGTGGGTTAAGAGTGAGCCGATGCGTCGGCTCCGAACCATCGTGATCTATTTTCGATGGGCTCGGGTATGTTTCTCTTGGCCTGGGTTTTTTCCACATCTTGTCCGTGCGGTTTTTGAATCACCCCTGTCTCTTGCCTCTCAGCTTTCATCTATTCGAATCTCGCTTTCGCGCTTTTCATTGCAGAGCTTTGGCTTCGTGAGAATTGGTTGCCATTGGTGGCCTCTGGCGATCGTTGGCGCTCAACGCAAGTATTTCTATGGTTTCTCCGGTTTTCTTCACCGCAAGATGCTATTTTGCTTAGCGTGGAGACAAGCAAGACAAGCCAGCCCCCCCAGCCTTGGTTCTAGCTTCTGCTGCATGTCTGAGACAAGGTGGACTGTCCGGGAGAAAATGGAACACATGAGGTCAAGGGATGCAGAGAGCACCCGTCGACACAGAAAACAAGAATGGAAACGGGAAGCAACAACAGAAGCCAACAGAGCGTGGTACTTTTACGGTGGCAGGGAACCTCGGAACGAGGATAGCAAACTCGACCGGCTTTCATGGCGTGGACGAGTGGCTTTTCAAGCCACTAGTGGAAAGGTCTGTTGTAGGCGGACAAAGCCAGGGAATCGTCGATGTTAAGCAGGTCGGCGAGGATGACGCAGGTGCTCCTTTTTCTACAGGTCGAAACACGTACATGTATTTCCAGGCATGAAGTGGGGATTTGCAGACACATATCCTTATGGCGTAGTAGGACCGCACATATCTTGTCTTGCATTGTCCGTCGTTCGTTGACATATGAAGGCATTAACGGTTCCAAACAGTGGAGTAAACTTTCTGCCTTGCTCGGCTCTGAAACGAACTGCTGATCTGCGATTGGGTCAATGCATGGCTGGCGAGGCGGGTGGGAGACCGCTTCCACGACCCGAAGCACGAGGCAAAAGCAGCCTAAGCAGCGAGCGACTGTTGATCGCCCGTGATTAACCCGGGGAGTCGTGGCGTCTCGTGACAGTAGAAGAAGCGGATT